TAATACAACTAACATTATCCTCTCTATGGCTATAACTATTACTAATACCAGCATTGAATCTCCTGTTCTAGTTCTAGGCATCAGGTTACCATGTTTTTATATAAGACAGATGATCCTCGCCTCCAAGATAATTTATTTTCCTGATGGAAATATATGAGAGAGCTGTGCCTCTTAACCATTCATTCTGTGCTGGGCTGCATATCTGGCGCTTTGGCCAGATGGGTCACGCTGTGCTGTCTGTTCCTAAAACACATAGATAGGAAGGTACTGACATCAGGCCAGGCCTTGAGATATGGTCTCATGGCCCCTTCCCAGCATGCTGTACTCTCTGTTCCTAGAACACATACATAGGAAAGTAGTCACTGTAATAATGCTGTACTGTGTCAGGAACTAAGGTTTTGTAACTTCGTGGTTTTTGCAAATAAAAATGCTGTAACTCCTATAGTCTGCACTGCAGTTCAGCCTCTGCTTTGGTGGGGTGCTGTAACTGTAGTCGCTGGCCATGGAAGTTGGTGCTGCAGTTCAGCCTCTGCTTCGGCAGGGTGCTGTAACTGTAGTCAGCTGGCCAGCCTAATAAAGGCTCTTAAATTTAAATTCTGAGTCGGTGGTCTATCTCGCTGAGTGAACCCATAACAATAGTTTATGCTTTTTTTAATTGCGTAAGTAGTATTCCATTGCATGATTATACCAGTTTCTCTATGTAATCTGTTTTTACACTTTGTAAGGGCAAGTGTGTTCTGATTTTGCCTGTAATCAGGGGCTTTTCTGGGGTTTCAATGGAAAGCCTAAGGTGTTCACTAAACCCACAAATGAGGTAGTACTCGAACCCTGAGCTCTGCTTCAGCTGCGGCAAAGAAAGGCCCTCTGCCTTCCAGCAGTGCCTCCCGCTCCCCGGGCAGCTTGCCTGCCTGTGCGATCCTGGGCCAGGTCAGGGATTGGGCAGCATTTACTCCTGTGCCTGCCCATTGCCAGCTGTTCTGATACCCGCTTGATGAGTCCTCCAACACCAAAACAGTAAGACCGCAGGTCTCTGCCTGCGCGCTGGCAACCGGCCAGGTGGACTAGGGAGTGGGGCGTGGGGCATGTAAGCATTGATCCCATCCACTGCAGGTGGATTGCTTCAAGGTTGAAATTACTCCAGGTTTTTTTTTCTCTCCTGCCTTCAAACAGTTGCTTTTTCTGTTTTTCTAGGGTTTATAATTGCAATCTTCAAGATGGTTAACTACTATTACTGGAAACAGAATTCTTAGGGGTGATTTTTACCTGCTGAAGAGAAGTGTTGTATTTTAAAGTCTCCAGCAAGAAACTGCAGAACATTTATAGAAACCTTTAATACAAACCGAAGTGCACCACCCAGTCCCCACAGGAGACCATCTAGAGCGGAGAAGTCGCCTGCAGGCCCAGGAGAGGGGCCTGACCCTGACCGGCTCCGCCCACACCGTGACCTCACACTTCCAACCTCCAGACCTGTGAGCCAACGCACTCCTGCTGGGTAAGCCCCAGCCTGTGGCGCTTGGCTAAGGCAGCCCGAGCTGCCTGAGACAGTGGAAGACTTTTGTGGGTGAAGAAACTGTTCACATGGGGCAGGAAGAGGAAGTGTGATGGGAGAAGGGCTACTTACAGTGAATTGGTCAAATGCATTAAGGATAATGGAACAAACCCCACAGTTTTCTATTGGAATGGGAACTATAAGAGCAAATCCATGCTTTCCAATAGAGAGATGATAGGTGGATAGATTAGGGAGATAGACAGGTAGATGATCATAGCAGACAGAGACACAGAACTACACGGACAGGTAAATGAGTGCATACAAACTCCTCAGCTCTCATGACAGAAGAGCCTGGAGCAGCAGCACCTCAGCATCAGTGCATCTAGCGCCTGGGCTGTGGCAGCTACACGCCCTTATCCCCCCCCCCCCCCCAAGAGAGGCCCGAGGTCCTTGGGGGAATGGCCGACTCCCTTGAGAGAGCAGGGAAAGGACAAGATGAGCCTGGAACAGCCTCACATCAGAAAATGATGAGGAAACAATACTGATGCAAGTTTAGCAAAAGCCACAGCGGCCAGCTTAAAGGGGTTCTCAGTGACCAGATTTAAGACTAATTTGGTCATCAAAATAAATGCTGATAATAGCGGACTATATAACCCATTGAAGAAAAGAGGAAATCGTGTGTTCATAGTGATAGAACAAGTAAATAAATAAATTGGACGTTGAGGAACAGGATGCTCCCATAGTTCCAAAGTACTTCCTCCCAAGATATTTATAAATTACAAGGGGGGGCGGGGTATTTATAGCAAAAAATGTGGCAGACCCCAGCATAATCAAGAGATTCAAAAGAATTATAAGTAATGGGTCAAATCAAAATTATGTGCCACCTGCTAGTATATAGCATTACTTCTGTGGTATTGTTGCCAAAAAATGCAAGACTGAAAGAGATGAAAAAATACCTGACAAATCCAAATGGAGGGACATTCTAGAAAGAGCTTGCATGCAATCTTCAGAAGTTTCAAGGTCATGAAAATCAAGGGAAGAGGAATGGCTCAGACTGAAGACTGAAGAGCCAGGACAACTAGCTGTGACACATATACTTTGCTATAAAAGGCATTATAGCCCTGGCCAGTTTGGCTCAGTGGACAGAGTGTCAGCCTGCGGACCAAAGGGTCCCAGGTTCAATTCTGGTCAAGGGCACATACCTTGGTGCAGGCTCCTCCCAGCCAGGGCCCTGGTCCCGGCACATCCAGGAGGCAACCAATCAATGTGTTTCTCTCACATCGATGTTTCTTTCTGTCTTTCCCTCTGTCTTCCACTCTCCTTAAAAATCACTGAAAATACCCTTGTTTGAGGATTAACAAACAAACAACAACAACAAAAAAAGACATTACTTGGACAACTGGTGAAGCTTCCATTGGCCGTTGGGTTAGAGGCGTGAAGGTATCAATGTTAACTTCCGGGTTTGACAGCTGTGTTGCAGTTCTGTCAAATATCCTTGTTTAGGGAAATATGCGCTACAGCGTCTGGGGGTGATGGGCATCGGCTCAGCGGTGTATTCCCCATGGCTCAGGGAATAGAAACAATTTCTTGTATTGTACTTTCAACTCTGTATGTTTGAGATTGTTTAAACGTTTTAATGAAGTGGTGACATTTCCTTTACCCAGTATGACAAAGGCATCCACTAATCTTACTGTCCGTCAGCAAGTCAGAACACAGCGAGAGCCGCTGCTGGAATAGAGAGAGCTCGGTGTAAAAACTTCCTGCGTAAGTTAGGCGTTATTAACTACACAACTGAAAAGGCAAAGAGACATCTAAGGTCTCACAGAGGAACTTGTCCAATCCTCGGGCTGGGAATAAGGGGACAGATTGGAATCATTAAATTATCAAACTCTGGGCCTCCACTGGGAGGATCAGAAAGCAGGGGTTGGGGTGACTCTACAACTGGGCTCAGAACCACCTGGAGACAAGGCCACGGCCAGGCCTAGTGGTGGACACGCAGCCGCCGGCGCATCCCTGGGGCTGTCTGTCCCCATCGCCACACGCGGCTCCTCCATGTGGCCCAGGCTTCCTCCAGCCCGGGCGTGGCCTTCTTATGTGGCAGCTCCGAGCTCCAGGGGACCAGGTAGGAATGTCACCCTTGCACCAAACCTCAGGGCAGGGGTGCAAACAGCCCCTCAGAGGGAGGAGTGTCAAGGTCACCTTGCAGAAGAGCCCGTTTGGAAAAGGCAGCCTGCCCAGAAGGGAAGGTGCCAGAGTTGCCTGGAGGACACTCAGATCTCAAATCGCTGGACTGAGATGATAAGACAGGAGCACCGGACACAACAGATAAGCCAGCCAAAGTCAGGGTCCAGACTCGGATCCAGATTTTCAAAAGAGCTGGTCCAGAGCCCATTTAAAACTCTGAGCCCTCCCTCTCCTCCAAGGAGGCCGCAGACAGGGAGACAGATTCAATGAGCAGAACCTGCGTGAGCCCTGGAGCGGCTGAGGGGCTGCCCGAGGGCTTCAGTGAGGGGCAGGGTGTG